AGAACGGTTTTCTTGTGTGAATTATTCACTGAGGAGACTACAACAGATTGATTGTAGTTAATGTTAAAGTGTTTAATATCTCAAAGAAATATCACAACTTTTGTCTTTTGGATTGTTAATATCACAACTTCTGTTACGTGATGGAAGTATTGTTTCCAAATTTAGTTTGTGAAGATTCATATTCACTGGAAATAAAGCTAAAATGTCAAAGGTTTTTATAGGATACTCTCTTTTAAAAGGCTTATCCATATGTCTTGGCACTACCTAAATTCCACTGCAAAATCATGAAATCTGGGGAAGACATGCCGTAGACTGACATTCTGACTTTTCATTTTACTACAATTTCTCTAAACCATTCATTAGCTATGTGCATTTTCCTTCGCTTGCTCTGTTCTATTTTTATTATGTTTGAGTCGATAAAAACTCATGTAATTCTAGTGGAAAATGCAAGGTATTCAATCAGTAATTATAGCAAAATGCTACTAGCTGAGTAAATTTATTAGCTTCCTTTTCTTATTCAATTTCAATTGTTATACACATGCAGGAAATTTTGCAGTTCAGATACCCTGCAACAACACTAATAGTGACTAATGCATTGATGATGACTTCACCTTTAGAAGCCTTGGCTCAAACATGTGAAGCTGATACTTCTTCTGTCTTCAATATGCCATTATTGCTGCTTGTTGCCCTCGTTGGGGCCACAGTGGGAGGTAAGATACTTTAAGTTTGTCGCTGCCATTGTTTTATTGCATTTTTTGGGGCTTTCAACTTTGAAAGGACAGAAAGTCATTGTGGTTAGATGTAACTCTAAATCATAGACCCCAAGTTAACCATAGAGCATGAACATAAACTGCACATCAAAATTAGCTCCCATATTATGCAGAAACTACTCTTATTAATCGAGGCATTTGAGAAATTGCACAAGCAAGCAACATACATGAGATCATAAGACCAGTTGCATCTCTCTCGCATTCCTGTACTTCTTCACAAAGATTAAGTTTATTACATGCACATTGAGACAGAATATGAATTCAATGAAAAGAAGTTAAAGGCTTTTTGATGCATTAAGTACATTGAGGCCTGTGCAGGATCCAGGATTAACGAGGCCACTTCATTCGACAGTTCCTCCTCAGAACACTTGATGAAAATATTATTTAATGCATGGGGTTTACAACTGCAATCAGAATTCCCTATGTCTGGTCGTGGCAATGGCCAATAACAGGAGTATTACAGATTCCATAAGCTATAAGAATGACTTTTAAAACATTTAATCGCTCGGCCAAAAATAATTACAGCCGCTAGCTAAATATATAAAAAATATAAACTGATTATATGTAAAATATGTAGATTATATGTATATTGTACATTAATGAGGCGGATGTGGAAGTGAGGGTTGGTACACAAGTCATCCCTAAGAGAGAAACCTTCTAAGTATTTTGGTTGATAATCCAGGGAGATGGATGATGATGTCACACATCGTATTGGAGTAGGATGGATGAAATGGAGGCTCACATGCAGTGTCTTATGTGATAAGAATGTGTCACTAATACTTAAAGGTAAGTTTTATCGTGTGTATGTTAGACCAACTATGTTGTATGGGACAGAATGTTGGCTAGTCAAGAACTCACGTGTTCAGAAGATGTCAGTAACGGAAATGAGGATGCTTAGATGGATGTGTAGGCATACTAGGAGAGATAAGATTAGGAATGAAGATATACAGGGTAAGGTGAGAGTGGCCACCGTGATGGACAAGACACGAGAAGCGAGATTGAGATGGTTCGGGCATGTAAAGAGGACCAAGTGAGGGGGTGTGAGAGGTTGGCAGTGATGGGTCTAAGAAGAATTAGAGATAGACCAAGGAAGAATTAGGGAGAAGCGATTAGGTTGGACATGACATATTTTCAGCTCACCGAAGATATGATCCTAGATAGGATACCATGAAGGTTGAGTATTAGGGTAGAAGGTTAGTAGGTAGTCGAGCGATTCCTCTCTTTTTTGTGGGAGAGCATGTATCTAGTTTAGATCACCTTATTTGCTCCCTATTCTCCTTGTCAATATTATTATTATTATTGTTTTATTACAATCTTATTCTTCAATTATATTAGTACTGTTGTTTCCTTTACTTTAATTATCTTTACTATTTTGTTGTCAATAGTTTTCTTTTCTTTAGTATTTTCATCATAACGTTTTTACTATTGTATATCTCAAACCTGTTTTGAAAATGCTTTTCTTGAGCCGAGGGTATATAAAAAATAGCCACTGTATCACACACAAGGTAGAGGTAAGGTCTGCATACACTCTACCCTCCTCAGAACCCGACCCTACCCTCCCCAGAACCCGACCCTACCCTCCCCAGATCCCGACCCTACCCTTCTCAGACCCCGTTGTTCTTGTTGTTGTTATTATATAAAAAATATACATTTGTCATTTATTATTTTGGGGGGACGGCTATACTATGTGGATTTCCCAATATGGCCTATACAAAAACTATGCCTCAATCCCAAACCTATTGAGGTTGGCATATGGATCCTCAATATCCATTCTGCTCCATTTGTGCCCGTTGCACTTTGTAGTCCATACTTACTAAGTTGTCTTTGGGACAATTTAAGAACTTATCCAAAAAAATGTCTATTCAAAAAGGTGCTTTAAGCAGGCTCAGAGAAAATTGTGGAAATGGCGTGGTTTGTGCTCAGTGTCTAAGGAATTCCTCTTTCTTTTCTTTTTTTCCATTTTTGTTTGGCAGGAAGTACGGAAATTTGAAATGGTTGTTTGTTGAATCAGTTGTTTGTAGAAAAAACTTTCAACTTTGAGTCGGTTCTAACTTCTGAGTATAACAGCATAATGTGTTTATGTGAAACGAAGGAGTCGATGTAGGGATTAATGAGATCTAATACTCAAAATGTCTTCACTACAATAAACCTATCTAATCTAGTCTTCTTTCTCATCTCTCTTAACTGTGTGTTGATCCTCTCAATGTTGGATCATTGCCTTTCTTGGTTTAATTTTTTTTCCCCACCTTTTGACCACAACGACGTGTGTGTACACATTTTTAATTGTACTTTCAGGACTAGTTGCACGTCAGAGAAAAGCGGAACTGCAGCGGTTGAATGAGCAGCTCCGCCAGATCAATGCGGCGCTAAGAAGGCAAGCTAAAATAGAGTCCTATGCACCTAGCTTAAGTTATGCTCCTGTTGGTGCCAAGATTGCAGAAAGTGAAGTGATTGTTGATCCAAGAAAGGAGGAATTAATATATCACTTGAAAAATGGAAAGAATTTTCTGAGAAATCAAGCCCCAGAAAAGGCATTTGTGGAGTTTAAAACAGCCCTTGAGCTTGCACAGAATGTAAATGATCCTATAGAGGAGAAGAAGGCAGCAAGAGGATTAGGTATGTGAGATCTCCTTGTTCAGTTTAGCGTTATATTTCCTTGGATGGAACTTTGCTAGGTAACAAAGGACTTGTAAAAGTTATGTTCAATAGGTATTGTTTCTACATTCACCATCTTCCTTATTGTCATTTATTCTTAAATTCTTGGTGTCACAGGGTCATCAGTCATGTTGCTTTTTTGGCTTATTTTCTTTTTAATCTGCTAAAGAAAATGTAAAATACTGCTAGAAGTTAGATTAAAGATTCAGTAAATCGTGGTCCTTGAAGCTAGATAGCCTACAAAGAAACTTTATTCAGACATACAAACTGCTACTGTTTCTCTCTTGTATATGCGTGTCACAATGTAATGACCCTCAAAGCTTTATCTCTTTCTCAGGGGCATCATTACAAAGGCAGGGCAAGTACAAGGAAGCCATTGAATACCACTCTATGGTTCTTGATATCTCATCAAGAAATGGAGAGGATTCCGGGAGCACGGAAGCTTATGGAGCAATAGCTGATTGTTATACCGAGCTTGGAGATATGGAACGGGCTGCAAAATACTATGACCAATATATTGCTAGGCTACAGAGTGATTAAACCATCTACAGGAAAGACTTCTCGCGGAAATTTCTTCATGTTTGATGCATTTAGAGTAGGATCTTTAGAGGTTAGGTTTTTTCTCTTGGTATATTTAAATCTTGCATACATTATTCACCGGTTTCTTCTGTTCTATTTTTTTGTCTGTTCTCGTTTTGGTATGCCGAGGGTCTCAACACACCTGAAGTTATCGCTGATAACTTTTATTCAGAATTTTGTCAGCTCAATTTGCATGTGAAAATCGGAACGAGGCAATCAAATGATCTTTATAAAAGTGATAAAAAGTAGCATGTTTGCCTTCTGGAATGGGGAACAGAGGATATTACAGTTCCTTTTGATTGTTTATAGCAGTAAATTAACAGATCACTACACTATGGCAATGCTTAAAGAACTGACAAGCCTCTCATTAAACAAGATGATATAACAAATATAAGGCGTGGTTGGTAAATTCTTATCTGATTGGAGAATTGTGCAAAAATTAAAGGTCAACATGCGTATATTCCTGATTCATGCCAGAGTTTGTGCGTACAACTTCCTTCTCAACCAATTCGAATACAAGGAATTTAAAGAGCCAAAGATTTCCTGAAATCCCACATGTTTGCAGTTCCAATTTCGCAATTCATTTTCTTTTTCCTTCTTAATCTCTCCCCCGATGAGGTTGCCCTAGGAACACGCAATAGCAGCTTCATCAACTCGGTGATAAACTATAGAAACAGCGAGCAAAATGGTCCCTAAAACATTCCACCAAATAGTGATTGTCCTTGAATTTCATTTTCATTATTAAAGTGTTCAGCAGTAATGTTAGATGGACTCGGCCAAACTCTTTCAGATACACTAGAACAGCTGGTACCAGAGAGAGTGATATTCATCTTCCCCAGTAAAACAATAAAACATAATGATTGGATTCCAGCAAGTATAAATATTTGCGTGGTAGGTCTCGCGCTGTTACAAATCGCCATATTGTTCTTGTCCAGATAATGTAGTGAGATTCATTTTGACTTCAAATGAAACATGAACAAATACAACAGATTCATAGAGAACGCACAAGTGAAAGAAAGGTACAAAAAGATAAGATTCAAGAAATGGTCTAGTCTGCAACATGCTATAGCATGTCTGCGCATGGACAAAGGCCAGCTAATCCAGCATGTAGTCCCACGGACCAAAATATCATTATATACAACCAACATGCATGCAGCTGATCTAGCTGTAAGCCGCATCCTTGAAACTTCTACACAAAATAGCGCCTTAATAGTATGCTTTAAACATTAACTATTAACATGCTTTGTATTGCATATTGTACATACACTGCAAAATCTGCACTACAACCCTAACCAGATACAAAAACATCACTTTGACCGAGTTCGATCGTAACAGTTTCTCGGACAACCCAAGACCAGAAAATTACCAAAAATTTCTGGGAGAAGATCACCATCTCAGGCCAGCCTTCTTGATCTGGATCCTACAGGTAGCATAATACTCATTCACTAATGGTAGCAAATCTTAACACAACATACATGAGCTCGAGCACATGGAATATTGTGCTGATAACAGCTCATGGAAGATTGGGGATGCATGTCAAGGCACTAATTCATGAAAAGTAGATGGAGGGAATACACAAGGTCTAAAGGCTCATCCCGTGCCGAAATTTATCAACCAAACCTTCATCATTTTTTCATCTTAACAAAAAATCGGGTAAGTTTCTTTTAGGGATGTCAAATTTACCAACCAAAAGTATAATCGGCCAAAGTTGAGCTTGTGGGGCACATAGTATGTTCATTGACAAAGTCTTTTAAGCACAACCTATAAAAAGGGTCAAATTGACAGTTAAAAACTATCAAGATTAGAAGAAAATATTGCATTATCATTTTGTTAGAATTCACTCTCCATTATTATTTTTATTTTTTGATAAAGTACAGTTCACTCTCCATTTACACACAATTTCTATCTATTTGGTGTATATTTCCTCTCTACAATTTCACTCAGTTTCTCTTATTTATTGAAAAACAAAGGTCCACTCACTTTCTATCTATGGAAAGAAAAGAAAGTTTGATCTTTCTTTCTCCCCTTTAACCTAAAGAAGAAAACTATTTTTTATTGGGTTGCCGTGTATTTTTCTCTCGAACAATTTCACCAATGTTTTTACTTGGTGAAGAGAATTTTCAAAAACAATACATTAACCTAGAATCTTTCCTAAAATATAAATTATTTAAATGGTAGAGTTGCGTGCAAGATGGCTCGAACACCACCTCTATGAACAAGTTAGATAAAAATACATACAAATCAATTATGTAACTTTAAACCACTTATTAATGTTTGGCTTTAAGCCAATCGTTTGGATTTGGGCTTGCCGTTTATATTTATATTGATTAAATAATTATTAGCTATACAATGATACAATTGTGTTGTTTGTATGTAACCATATATTGTTAAGAACAGAAAAAGTTTGATATAAATCATATAATATAGGATAAATTGTTTGATAACCATTTTAAAATTTGAAAACTAAAAATATCGAACCAAAATCATATGCCTGAACTACCAACTTCCATTAAGAAGCCATACCACTAGAAATTCCTTTTTCTTGTTTCCTTTGGATGCAACAATTAGATGGGCATAATTTTGATAAGAATTGCAGATAGAGATAATAGCTTGTATTCTTTCTGAAAATTTAGGAAATTACTGCTAAAACCGCTCAACTAGAAAAATTTCACAACTGAAAATAGGAGGAAACTATGGCTTGCAAATTCCAACCATAAAAACTAGGGGATGAAGCATATGTTTTGCAATATTACTTACTGCTTGGACGTTTCATATTTCGGCAGAAGTTGCTACCGCAATGGCAGCTAAATGCTTTTACTGGATGTTCAAGGTCATCAAAATCAATACCATAATCCTGCCAGAGCCAAATCCAAAGTTTATCAAGCAGATAAACGGCTAAATAGCAAAGCATTTATTTGTATAGAGGCATGGTCCCTTTTGGTACCATGCGAGCGCTTATCCACAAGAAACTAGACATGTTGAAATGGCGAGACACTAATACTTGTTAATCGTTCATGTCATGGTGTAGTACTTTAACATCGCCACTCTCTGGAGCAACATCTTTCTGTGTTGCTGACTTGGTTTCAATTGGAAATTTTAAACACAATGATATGACTTTTTTTTCCCTCAAGGATGTCAGCACTAATTCATCTAATTATGCTTGTTACTTGCCTTATTCAAGACATAGTTTACTGTTATTAACTATCAAACAAATAATATAGAAAGATAACACTTGGAATTAATCCTCAAAATCAAGGGCCTAATTTTGATTTTACTCCCTTAACCATCAACATGGGTAACCATAATTTTCCAGTTAAGAGGAGAGGTCCACTATGCTTAACTAATTATAATTAAAATAACCTAAAAACACAAACATCACTTTGTCATTATCAGGATATGTCACATCATTACAAGCTCTAAAGTATTTAGATTAAAAGAAAGTAATCGAAGTTGAGAAGCGCCTATCCATCTTTTCTTCGAAAAGCAAAATATGAGGAATGACTTGATAAAAAACAAAAACAAAATATGAGCAAGAGGTCCATTAATTTTCTTTCACTTGTTTTAAGGATGGAACGCAGGGTTTTGGGCATAGTTATGGAAAACTCATCCAGTAGTTTCTGCCTCAAGCCCTATCAAGCTACTCTTTTTTATTTTTCCCGGTGTTTGGTATACAAGCTACATCAGCACAACTGACTAAAGTTTATTACGCATATTAGCTGAAAACAGGACCTGCTCCCAATCCCAAGTCAGGAGGGCAACCCGATGTAGATGTACTGAGTGTATACTCATCAGAAAACATGCAAAAGTTGGTCCAAAGCAAGCCAAACCACTGTACTTATACCAGTATTTCAAAAGCAACAAAACAAGCACACCACAATACAATGACTATGAGCATGTGATGACATCAAGCCTACTCACCCATGTGAGCTCCTCCATCGCTTTAATCTTTCTTGTAGTGAAAAACGCAAGCTACAACAAGCAATAACATCGACTTAATCAACAAAGCTGTCATTGTCAAGGACTAGCAATAGCAATCTTGAGGATGAAAAGGAGTTAAAGATTCAGTGAGCATAAGATTCATTACATGATAGTAGCGGTGATCAGGGGTCTCTATTTCAACTGGAATTTCAACCAAATTTGAATCGAAGCATCTGAGCCAGAACAACAATGAACAAAGTAAATGCATCAACACAGGTTTCCCACATCTATGAATGATTAAATATCAAACAGATACAAAATGCATGGTCCTCTCCACCTTTTGGATATTCTGACAAGACAAAAAGATTCAAATTGCTAGGCACATGGTCTCTCTGGTCTACCACAGGCAGAGCAGTAAAAGGAGCTAGAAGTGAGAAGGAAGAAATGAATCACGAAGTGAGCCAAATCCATTTAGAAAAAAGGGTGTGAATGTTTAATGGGAAGGATATTGAACAGTTGACATTCAATAAGGGGCTTTGCTTGACTTACACCATGAATCATCGAATTATTTTTTTTTTTTTAAAAAAAACATGAATTTGAAAAGTAAGGAAAATAATGCAGAAGTTCAAAGAAGCACTGAATCTATCGAAGTCAATTAGGAGACTTACTTGAGGGCAAGTGAACAAAATTTTTAACCTAAAAGTCAATCAGATTGTTGTTATTGTTTTTAATGAAAGTCAATCCGACTATACAAAACTGATACCCCAAAGATAGTTAGGGTAGGGTGGGGAAAGAAATACAGAAAAAAGATTATAACTTGTGATCTATCTTTGCAAACTTACCTGTGATTGATGAACCTGGCAACATTCCCATAGAATGTAGCATCCAAACAAAGAGCTTCCTCATCCTTTAAGACACCCTCTGAACCCCAGTCAGCATCCAGCAGGACTGGATAAGAATGTTCCTCCCCGTTGGGGCTCTGTGAAACACGATCAAAGAGTTCGGAGTTGGTCAGAATTTCTCCAACATATTCGCAGACAAAAGCACCTAGAGGAAGGTCTTCTAGGGTACGCAAGCCCCATCCTTTCCCTTCAGAAGTCATGAAGACCTGAATAAGAGCAACAAATCACAGACCAAGTTAATTGTGGAAACCAATTATGGTTTTGGAAGGAGCTTTGTGAAGCTCAAAGGACGAGCATAATAGCAGTAAAATGTAGGGCATTAGTTATTCCCACGTCATGAACATGATCAAAGACAACTGCAACATTCTATACATTCATACCTGTAACTTATGGCTTATACCTCGCTGTACTACACGGTTGCCACATTGTTTATTACAGCCACATTTCCACCAACACTCTTTGATGAAGTTCCTCATCAAATGACCTTTACAAGCTTCTATAATGTCCTCATTTTTTGATCTTTCCAATGGGCACTCTTTGCAAAAGAAGTGGCAGTGTTTCTTGGGGTCACGATTCATGGAAATACATTCTTTAAGAAACTCTTCTTTAACAAGTCCTTCCTTTGTGTACGCAAAATCACCACCGGTTACGTGTGCACAAGCACAAGGTGTGGATAATGATAAACAATCACCAGAGCAAGTTGAACAGCTATTATCATCTCCAATACGAGCCAGAGAAAAGTTAACATATGCATTCTGGAAAACCACATTGTAAGCTATGTAGTGAAATGATGGTGGACGCTTGCTATTAACTTCATTCACCAAAGAAATTATAACATTTTCTTGCCCCTTGGTTATATCAATAACATCAACAGACCCTACATCACGCGGAGCCGATTCACATGGAACCACCTCAAGTGGATTAGTTCCTTCAAGACCATTCTGATCGGTCTCTGGAGCAATACTACAGTTGGCCATTGATGCTGCATGATCAGCTTCATTGCTGTCTTCACCAATATAAGGAGCAAGATAGGGCATCTCTGGTTCAGCTTCCCTAGCACCAAGATCAGAATTCTGGAACCCACTTAAGGAATCAACATAGCCTATTTCACCTGGAGTTGATTCACATGGAGCCTCCGTACTCCGTGAATTAGTCTGCACAAGACCATTCTGATCAGTTTCTGGAATACTACCACAGTTGTCCATTGATGCTATATGACCAGCTTCAGTGCTGTCTTCACTAATAGGAGGAGGAGAGAATCGGGGTATCTCTGGTTCAGCATCCCCAGCGTCAATTTCAAAATTCATAGATCCATTTGAGGAATTAACAGTCATGCTTCTCGAGCCAAAATCATTTTCTGCAGCAACATCTGTGGTTGCTTGCAATTCATGACTGTGCTGAGTTCCCAGTTCCAAAAAACACTCACACATGTCTTTCATCAGCTTCATCACAGAAAAGTTAGGGTCCAGGATTTTGTATGATTTAAGACATTTAGACTCCACCATTTTCAGAACAGATTCTAGATTCGGCATATGGAAGTCTGATCTACAAAGAGCTGGGTCACAGTTTATAGAGACTTTCACCTCTCCAAATGGTGAGGAGGCAATATCTACGTCAGTACACCTATCCTGGACTTCTACCAGCTCACGTTGGGTGGCCACTCCATTTGATGAAGTCGCGATTTCCTTACCTGCATCTTCTCCGCCTCTCAGTTCTATCGCTAAGGGTTCAGAAGTTTCTGGACGTCTCCTTGAGGCGTTACCACTTGAAGTATCTTCCTTGTTTGATGGTTCTAAGGAATAAATAAAAGACATTTAGAAGCTGTGTAGATGTTTCCAGGAAACTTTCTGATGAGAACATCACAACCCAATGAAGATAATAATATACAGATAGGCATAATACATCGGAACCCCTTTGGACTTGGCACTTTTTATTCAATGCACACCTGAACTAGTTTTAGTCCCAATTACCCCACTCAACTTGGCAGTTAGCTAGCCTTCGCCCCTTGGGTAACCTCAGTCCAAGGAGGTGTGATACACTCGCTACGACATGGATATTTATTATCCACGTGGCATTTTTTAATAATAAAATATATATTTTTATTAGATCCTTGTGGTCCGGCCCTTCCCCGGATCCCGCGCATAGCGGGAGCTTAGTGCACCATGCTGCCAAAATATATATTTTTATTTTTTTAAAATCAATTTTTCAGCCAAATTTATAAAAAAAAATGTTTGGAATTTCATTATTNCAAAAAAAAAAAAAGAAATACGCAATTAAAACTAATCGCATCCAAAGATGAAATACTAAAAGTACACACTTGAAATCTATTATTTTGGCTAAAAACATTATATTTGTCTAATAAAAACAATGTGAGTTCCGGCAATTTTTTCTACAGATTTCGTGGGAAAGAGAAAGAAGAAAAAATACCCAGTTGGGATACACAGTCGTTGTATCTAAATAAGAAATAAAAGGAAATTTCACAACTTGAGCTCCATTATTTTAGCTAAAACTTTTTTATTTGATTAGAAATAATGGAGCTCTAGCCAAGTCTTTTTATTTTTTATTTTAAAAGTTGATGCAAAAATAAAAATTACACTTTTAGAACAAATATCTTGCATCTAAAGAAGAAATAAAATTAAATACATACTTGGCGCCATTATTTTGGCAAAAACTTTTATCTGGCTAAAAATAATTGGTTTTAGTCATGTCTTTTTTTTACATATTTGGCTTGAAAAAGAAGAAATACACAATAAAATAAATAGCCATTACACCAAAAAAAGAAATTAAAAATTACAAATTTGAGGTAAAATATGTTTGGTATATTAAGAAGAAATAAGAAAAAATACACAGTTACAGCATTGCATTAACCATTGTATTCAACTATGTGGCAATTAGCAGTTAAAAATACTCCACTTGAAAGCTGAATTTTTTATTTCTCATCTCTCACACGCCTAAAAGAGTGTGTATCCACTCTATTAGCCATGTTAGAAATTGGGGGGAGAAAGCTATCAAACTGCCAAGTTTGGTGTGTGTGTGTATGGTTTTTTTTTTTTTTTTTTT